GCAGTGAGGACAGTGGGGGCAGTGAGGACACAGGGGGCAGTGAGGACACTGGGGGCAGTAAGGACACTGGGGGCAATGAGGACACTGGGCAGTGAGGACAGTGGGGGCACTGAGGACACTGGGGGCACTGAGGACAGTGGGGGAAGTGAGGACACTGGGCAGTGAGGACAGTGGGGGGCAGTGAGGACACTTGGGCCAGTGAGGACACTGGGGGCAGTGCGGACACTTGAGACAGTGAGGAGCCTGGGGGCAGTGAGGACACTGGGGCAGTGGGACACTTGGGCCAGTGAGGACACTGGGGGCAGTGAGGACACTGGGCAGTGAGGACACTGGGGGCAATGAGGACACTGGGGCAGTGGGACACTGGGGGCAGTGAGGACAGTGGGGGAAGTGAGGACACAGGGGGCAGTGAGAACACTGGGGGCAGTGAGGACACTAGGCAGTGAGGACAGTGGGGGGCAGCGAGGACACGGGATGGGCAGTGAGGACGCTGCGGGCAGGGAGGCCCCTCAGGGGCTCTGTAACGTGCTGTGGGTGCTACAGGTGTTGCGGTGGAAGACCACAGGGAGGGAGGGATATGGCTGCAGTCTGGGTGCCACAGGAAGGCAATCGTTCTGGTGGTCCAGGCACGCGGCAGGGAGCTGTCCGTGTGCTGTGGGGCACACCGGGAGGGCACCAGATGGGACATGGGAATGCAGGTGGTTGGAGAGGTGGTTAGCCCCTTGGGCTGCATGTGAGACCACTCTTCTCAGGGACCCCTATAACAGGAATCAGGGGACCATCGGGTGGTCCAGAGAGGTTCACCAAGTGAGGCAGGGGTGGGCAACCAGCTGAGACAGGGAGGGGCTCAGGGCACAGTGACCAGCACCCCGAGAGCATGTGAGCGGATGAAGTCCATGGAATGTGGGTGCTTCCCGGGGTGCAGACTACCTTGTGTGGGTCCCATGCTCCCCCACAGATGCCTGCCTGCACTCAAAGACTCAGGGCCCGCCCCACCAAAGCCCTCCTGGGCCTGCTGCAGCAGCTCTCTGCCTGGAGTAATGGAGCAAGGGCTTGGAGGAGAGTGGGGCGCAGAAGGCTCCCCAAAATCTGGGGGGCAAGGAGAACCCTCTGAGAAAAGGAAAGCCTCTCAGAACAGGGGTCCTCTAGGGGCCAGGGAGAACAAGAAGATGCTGAGGATGGTGGGTGGTCAAAAGTATGGGTTCCCCAAAGGGGGCACCGTGGTTTAAGGTCCATCCAGAATGCTCCTTCAAAGCCAGGATGGCGAGGTGCTGCCTCACAGACTTTGGACACGTGGTCGGTAGAGAGCAGTCCCTGGAAAAGGGCGTCACGCTTGGTAGAGGGGCAGTGGGAAAGAGGCAGGCCCTCCAGGAGATGAGCTGACACCGTGGCTGCAACAATGGGCTCAAGCTTGGGGCACTTGTGAGGATGACGCAGGATGCAGGGCCAGGTAGCATTTTGTTCTGTTGTGCATAGGTCGCTATGGGTCAGAACCGACCCGACGGCACCTAACAGCGACAACAAACGTCTGAACCCATGGCCGCTCCAAGGGAGAACGAGGAGGTAGTCTGCTGCCGTAAAGACGGACAGCTGTTAACACTAGACGTTATGGGAGCGGGTCTACTCTGACGGCAGGGTCACTGTGAGTCAGCATGGACTGGGCCACAGTGGTCGGCGGCAAGGAAGACAGTGAGCAGGTTTTGTGGGCTGTGTTCAGGGCTATCAGAGAGAGGCGGGGGTTGGGATGACTGTGGAAAATGAACATGCTCTCAGGCAGTCTCTGGTGTGGTGGAACTTCCTGGGCAGTAAAGGTCTCTGGAGGACGGAGTCATGGGAAGCGGGGCTGCCACCCCTCTCTGTGGCTCCGCCAACCTTCTGTCATCACGCCGGTGCTGACTCACGGTCACCTTACAAACGTCACTGCTCTGTCAGGTTTCTGAGCAGGGGCAGACAGTCTCCGTGTGCTTCCCAGGAGCAGCTGGTGGATTTGATCTCCCAACCTTGCAGTTAGCAGCCCAACACTTAACCCACTGCACCACTAGGCCTCCTTCTGGTCCCACCAGCCAAACCCACTATTTCGTAGATTTTGACTCATAGCAATCCTATAAGACATGAACTCTTTATGGGTGCAGAAAGTCTCATCTTTCGCCCATGGAGTAACTGGTAGGTTGAACGAACAACCTTGTGGTTGGCAGCCTAACCTATGGTCCACCACGCCACCACCAAAACTCACTGCCACCAAGTCGATGCCAACTCACAGCAACCCTGTGGGATGAGGTCGAAATGCCCCATATGAGTTTCTGAAACTACGCTTGGTTGAGAATAGAAAGTTCCGTCTTTCTCCCTCGGAGCTGCTGGTCGTTGTGAATTGCTGACCTTTCAGATGTCAGCCCAACGCATAAAACCACTCTGCCGCCAGGACTCCTCCAGACTCTCCAAAATCTGCCTCCCAAGCCTCCAGTCTAATCCAGCCTCCAGCCCCAGGTCTCTTCCTCCAGAGGACTGTCCCTAGTCCTCAACCTAGGCCTCCCCTTCCCTGGGTCCCCAGGTCTCTGCATAGTCTGTTCCCTCCCTGTGCCTGGGACACACACACACACACACACACACACACACACACACCTATTACCTCTGTTCTCACTCATGGCCTCTCCAGTCTACCCAGCTGCCACCTCCCTCAGGATGCCCTCTCTAACTGCCCCAACAGCATGAGGCTTCTCTGGAGTTCCACCTGTGGCCCCAGGCCCATCAGAGCCTCCCATGTATGCACTGGGCTGGGCACACATGAGGGGTGACATTCCACTCAGCGTTGGATCCAGTGTGGAGAGGCCAGACACAGGTCCCTCCATGACCCCCATTGGCTGGCCCTGTAGACAATACAAGTTGTTCTCTGTGGACCTCAAGCAAGGCCCTGACAAGGCCCCTGGCTCTTACTGACAACCACTGACCGGGTCGGGGAGGCTGCCACTGACACAGTCTTTGTCTTGGCCTTTGTGGGACAAGATGGATGACCCTCTGCTTGGCTGATGCTATCTCGTGGCTGCCGGTCAGACGTGAGGTGGGACCTCCCCTCACCTCCTTTGTGGGCAGGTACAGGACATCCGGCCTATTGTGGGCTGTGGGGGGCTGCCCTGTTGTCCATCCGGCTTTATCACCACAGGTAGGGACAAATGGCCCTTTTTGAACATAGGGATTGTCCACCTCTGTATTCCCCAGGGGATGTCCTGGCACCCCCAGCATCTCTGATGATGATCAGAATTACCTGCCACCCCAAGGTACCTGGACAAGCCCCTGAGCTCAGCCTGGACGTCCCTATTATCCAAGAAGGGACTCAGGCCTGTGGGCACTGGAAGCAGAGACAGATCTCTACTGCCTCCTCACCTCTCATGGAGGCCCAGGAGAGGCCGTCTCTGTGCCCTAGGTGACCCTGCGCTAAGAGGAGCCCCCATCTCCCACCCCCAGCTAGGAGGAGACCCCAGGGGAAGTTGGGAAGCAGCTAGCTGGAGTTGTGACTACATCCTCACTGTCCACGAAGTGCTTGGACTTCTGAGCCAGGGTGTCTGAGGAGCAGGAACTGCGGAGCACTTCTCTGATGGGGGAAGTGTCTGGAATCCTTATGTGGGCAGACACAAAGAAGAACTTCCCACCTGATGTTCAATGTGGCAGCTGAACTCATGGTTCCTCCCAACCCCCCACCCCACCCCACCCCCAGTGCACATTGGCCAGCAAGGCACTGGCCACAGAGGGGTGCCACCTCACTGCTTACTCCTCCAGGTCCCCTCTCCAGCCCCTCCATGGGCCCAGCTCGGCTCCTGACCCTGAGCTGACCCTCTAAGGGCTGTGGGGAAGTGCTCAGTCCCAGTTCAGCGCCCCTGAATGAATGGCCCTGGGGGGAGAGGGGCATACCCCTCCTCCACAGGCCAGAGCACCTACCACGTCACCCCACCCCCACCAGCATTGTCCTTCATTTCAAACAACACCCCTCTCTCTTTGTGCCCCATCTCCTTCAGATAAGGAAGTCAATGGTCTGAGCTCAGAGCCTGTCCAACTCACAGGGC